ATCATAGTATCCCTGTGTTCCCCTCAGGCATATAGATAACCTATTTCCATGGGGAAGGATGAGATTTTTTTCCTCCATCCATGTAAACTTCCAAAAGAGTCCAGCAGGATATACCAGCTAAGTATCCAACCCACAAATTGGAAACTTGGGCTCCACGGTAATAATATTAGCCTCCTAGCTTCCCTGGCTTCCATCAAGTCTCAACTAAAGTCTTACCTTCTGCTAGAAGTCTTTCCCAGTCCTCCTTAATCTAAAAGGCCTTCCCTGTGAAATTAAATTATTTCCAATTTATCCAATGTATACATCTTGTTTGTACATAGTTGTTTACATGTCTCCCCTATTAGTTAGACTTTGAGCTCCAAGAGAACAGGGGCTACTTTTTTTTTTTTTTTTTGCCTTTTTTTATCACTAGTGCTTAGCACGATGCCTGGCAGTTATAGACACTTAATCACTGCTGGTTGACTGACTGATATAATAATGAATACCAGGTGTTTGCCAACAGCAGTCAGGAGACTACACGCACAAATCTGGAGCTTCACTCTGCCTCCTGTTTCCCCTAATCAAACCTGAGTTCCATTAAAGGTATTCAGTGCAATATGAAGCTGTGCTTTGGATATACAGTGATCAAGATGATATAATAAGATGTCACAGTTGTGTGAACCAGGCAGGTGTTTCCCAGGTACCAAAGCCACTCGATGGTCTTTTTTGTTTCTCTGTGATCTAGCCTCTCCCTTTTTATTCCTTCCCCACCAAAATAATAATGATAATTATTGTTATCTTGGAGATATCATTGTTCTTGGAGAAAGCAACTATTTAAGACCATACCATTTTGACTTCACTAATTTAAACAATACTACTGGTCACAATATCCATGGTTACCATCATGACATATAATCTTGCTTATTTATTTACTGGATGTCATGTTGTATGTGGTGTAACGGAAAAAAATACCTGATTTAAGGTCAAAGGATTAGTTTTGAATCACTTAAGCTGTCTGGACCTAGGCTTCCAGGGGCAGCTAGGTGGTGCAGCGGATAGAACGTTGGGTCTGGAGACAGTAAGTCTTGAGTTCAAATTTGGCCTCAGATACTAGTTGAGTGTCTTTGATCAAGTCACTTAACCTCTGTTTGCCTCAGTTTCCACAACTGTAAAATGGGGATAATAGCACTTACCTCCCAGGGTTGTTCTAGGGATCAAATGAAATAATATTTGTAAAGCACTTAGCATAGTGCCTGGTGCATAGTAGGCATTCTATAAATGCTAACTATTATTATTATTGCATATCTGTGAAATGGGTGGATTGGGCTAGATCAGGGGTCTGTGAACTTTTTATTTTGTGAATGAAATTTTTATTTACACATTGTATCTAGCAGCAGGTACATAAGTTCTTATACAATTATTTTCCAAAAATGTGCAAGAAATCACTGTGATCTTTGTTTACAAACCAAAACGCATATTAAAAGCAATGGACTTTGAATAATTCTCATTCTGTGGTGTGCTCTTGTATAAATGGTACACACCTGGTTTGACACAGAAAAGTGTGAACTACAGCAATCTGGATTGCAAGTATTAATTTCATGGCACTCCATGTGAGCTTGTTTTTTTTTAATATTTTGATATCTATATTTCATTGTAATTGGTTGCTTTTGTAATCCTATGTATTTTATTTTATGCAATTAAAAACATTGTTCTGAGAAAAGGTCTATAGGCTTCATTAGACTGGGTGGGGTGGAGGGGGGAGAAGGGATATCTGACGCAAAAAAGGTTGCTCACCACAGTAGTTGTTGAATGTGTGTGTAGTTGTCAGAATTGGACCCAGGACTATAGGGTAGGCAAGGAAGTCATCTACCAAATATACAACCCATAATAAGGGGCACTTTTCATTGTTGCTTTTTATAAATGCACCTACTTTCAATGCCAGGATATCCTACCCATGCCACTAAGGTGTTTGTTTTGTGATAAGTTGGGTCACGTGTCACAAGGAAAGCCTAAGGCACTGACATACTCTGTCCTGACTGCTATCAGGCCAAGAGTTATAGGCAACACCTGCCTCCTAGGAGTCCTACAGGTAGCTCTGGTAATAACATCCCTTGGCCTGGGGCCAACATTCTGCTCTACTCTTCTCCTAAAATCTGTTCTATAGCAGTAGTGTCATAGTGAGGTTCTGGCCTATATTGTTTTATTCATTGTGACAAATCAGTGCATCTTGCTTGCAGGGGAAGGAACTGAGAAAAGGTGACATGTTATTGTTCAGGGTGCATGGTATTAAGACAATGAGACATCATTATATAAAAATTTTAGAGGGGTCCTTTGCAGCGTGTTACTAATATAACAGAGCACATCTTAGCAAAGCAGGACAAATGTGCAAACAGATTCCAAAAATATAATGAGAGATGAATGAATTTGTGCTGTTACTGAAGAGGCCCATCTCTGGCCAGAGAGGCCTTCCAGGTTGATTTCCTCATAGCAGCCTTTTGAAATGGCTCCATGGTGCTATCTGAGCATTCCTAAAATGCAGTATGGGCATCCATTAGTGCAGACCTATAATATACCAAGGAACTGGTTACCAGGCAGTATCTCCAGTGACTGGGGTGTAATGACTTGAAGCCTCCCTTTGCCATGACACTCTTCATCAGGGCTTACTCACTATAAGGTAGATCAAAGGTTATTAACCTCAGGTCAATGAACTTGTTTGTTTTTATTTTAATATTTTACTTTTCCCCTAATTACATGTAACAACAAATTTAACATTCTTTTTTCAAATTTTGAGTTCCAAATTCTTTCCCTTTCTCCCCCTGCCCCCCCATTGAGAAGGTAAGCAATTTGACATAGGTTATACATGTGTAGTCATATAAAATACATTTCCATGTAAGTCATGCTGTGAAAGAAAACACAGACCAAAAAAGAAAACCCAAGAAAAACAAAGAAAGTGAAGAAAAAATATCTTCGATCTGCATTCAGGCTCCACCTATTCTTTCTCTGGAGATGGACAGCACATTTCATCCAAAGTCCTTCAGAAGTATCATGGATCATTGTATTGCTGAGAATAGCTAAGTTATTCACAATAGATCATCATACAATATTTCTGGGTAAAGTTGCTTTAAATATTTTTGATAACTATATTTCAATATAATTGTTTTACTGTGTAATCCTATATATGTTATGGAAAAAATGGAGATTAGTGAACTTGTTTTTAAAGTATTTTGATACGTGTATTTCAATATAATTGTTTTACTATGTAATCCTATATATCTTATGAATTTAAAAACATTGTTTTGACAAAGAATTCATAGGCTTCATTAGACCACCAAAGGTGTCCATGAAATAAAAAAGATCAGAACTCCTAGTGTAGACTTAGTCAATAAAAGTACCCTGATGCTACTATCACCAAATATTTTGCCTGCCTGTTCCCCATTCTTTTACCAAGGACCAAAAGATGGTGTGGTATAGTGGAAAGAGCTTGAAGTCATAGTGAACTTGAAGTCATAGGACCAGATTTCAAATCCAGCTCCACTAAATGCCTATGTGACCATATAAGTCACTTAAGTGTTTTGGGCCTCTGTTTCTTCATCTATAAACGAAGGGTTTAGGACTAGATGACCTCTACCTTTCCTAGTCTTTATCTTTAATCCTTTGATTCTATAGTTAGAAACAAAGGATGAAAAATATACCCAACCTCTATGCCATGGAACCCAGCGATCTATACTCACACCCAGGTACAAATGATAGAATGTAAACTCCCGAAAGGAAGGGAATATTTCACCTTTATCTGATATCATCCCTGGTGCATAGTGAGTGATTAAGAGATGCTTATTGATATCAACACCTTTCCCAAAAGCAGGGTTTGATTGGGAGAAACAAGTGAGATAGTCTCCAGGACACTGGGTGCCTTGGGAGGTCAGAGGGGTGCCACAGGGAGCAGGGTTAGAGGTGGGTAAGGTATATGAAAAGGAAGCTGGAGACACAAAAGATAGGCCATCCACTTCACATTTTTGCCAGGAGTCAGCCCTTCTCCTTGTTAATTTAGAGGTGGCCCTGCCACCCAGATCCTGGACTCCTAAAATACTATTATCCATCTACCCTGTCTTCCAGGGAAACAGAAACCCAGGAGGGCCAACAGGGATGCCCATCGAAGTATAGGGACAAGCTAGAATTTGAACTTGGCATCTAGGTTCCTTGGTTAGGAATCCTGAAGGCAGGTGAAATCCTCACACCAACAGACCAGGAAGTCGGAATTTGACCAGGAATCCACCTCCCACTAACCCATTCAGTGACCCTGGACAAATCATTCAGTCCTTCTGTACCTTGGTTTCTCTGACCATAAGATGAAAATAATGCCACTGGGCTGTCTAAAAATGTCTGTAAAATGCTTTCTAGAACCATGAGAAGGTTCTTTCCCAAGACATATTTGTCCTTCAGGAGTCCTCAAGTCCCACCTTGGTCATGAAGCTTTCTCTTCTTTATTATCCAGCTGGTTTTTCTCTAGGTAACTGTCAACTGTGCTGTAGTCATTGGAGTGCTAGATTGGGGGGGGGTCTGGAAGATCTGGGTTCAAATCCCACCTTTGGTGCTTAGGAGAGTTTTGGCTTTGGCTAAGGTCATAAGGTCACTATGAACCTCAGTCCCCTCTTCTGTAAAATGACAAAGCTGGACCTTAGAAGATGACTTCTGAGGCCCCTTCCAGTTCCAAATCTGTGATATTATGATCCAGGCTGGTGCCTTAATCTAGCCTTATTAATGCAGCCTTCTGCCCTCAGTGAATACTACTACCCCAAAGGTCTATCTATCTCACATTAGCTTTCTTCCCTCTCTCTGATAGTTACTTTTCTTCTATATTTAAGAGAAATCTGTTTCTAAGAGTATCACCTCCTCCAAGAAGCTTTCTTTGATTTCAAAGCCATACTAATTATTCCTTTACTCAATAATTCCTTTACCATTGTGTATCCAGTTGGTAATAAATAATTTTATATTTGTCATACCCCTTCATTCTTTTCTTTCAGAACACCATTATCTTGTGAGTTCAAGGATGGGCCATCTCTTCTCTATTTTATGAACCACCTGCCTTCTCACAACTATAACTTCTTACTCTCAGTGGCTTTTTAAAATTCTGAATTCTTGGACGAAAAAAATTTAGGAAGAGAAGCCTCTCCTCCATTCTCCAGACAGCAGGCCCCAGAAACAACCTCGGCAGTCCCCAAGTACGTATTCCTTTTTTCAGGACTCCAACTGTTCCAATTCTAGGCCCACCTTGGGTGCTCAATTAATGTTTATTAACTAATCACTAATCAGCTAAGTGCCACAGTGGATAGCATGCTAGAGTCAGGAAGACCTGAATTAAAATCTGGCCTCAGACACTAACTAGCTGTGTGACCCTAGGTAAGTCACATATCCCTGTTTGCCTCAGTTTCTCATTTATAAAATGAACTGGAGAAGGAAATCATAAGCCATTCTAGTATCTTTGCCAAGAAAATCCCAAATGGGGTTATGAAAAGTCAGATGTGACTGAAATGACTAAACAATAGCAACAACAGTAAGAAAACCCACTAGAGATATAACCCTCACTTTACTTCCTTCTCTAAGTCCCTTCAAGATCTAAAATGCTATGATTCTCTCATCTATCTTCTTCAAGCTTCTACCACCACTGCAATATTATCTCATTTGTTCCTCACAACAACCCTGGGAGGTAGACACTGTTGTTAACCCTGTTTTACAGCTGGGGAAACTGAGGCAAACAGAGGTTAAATGACTTGCCTAGGGTTTCACAGCTGTTAACTATTTGAATCCAGATTTGAACTCAGGTCTTCCTGACTCCAAGGCCCAGTGTTGTATCCACTGCACCACCTAGCTGACTCAACACTAATACTCTGTTGGTAGAGCCAACGGCCCAGCTGCTCTGGAATCAATGTGGAATTATGCTTTAAAAAAAAAAAAAAAAGGTAAATTCAGTGTCAATGCCGTTTGACCCAGAGACTTCACTGCTGGACATATATTCCAAGGTCAAAGACAGAAAGAAAGGTCCCATATGCACCAGAGTTTTCATAGCAAAACTTTTTTATGTGTGGTAGCAAAGAACCAGAGACAAAAGTAGATGCTTGTGGAGTGGCTAAACAAATTATGGTATATAAATAGGTCATAAGAAATGAAGAATATGAAGAATTCAAAGAAGAATGGAAAAACTTATATGAACTGATATAGAATGAGGTAAGCAGAATCAGGAAAACCATATAATTACAATGACGTAAATGGAAAGAAAAAAATGAAATTAAATACTGTGCAATTATAATTATCAAGCGTGGCCCTGGAGAAGAGTTGAGAAGACGTACCTCCTTTCATTACAGAAGTGGGGGACAATGGGTGTCAAATATCATCTATACTGTTAGTTCATGACTTGTTTTTGCTGATCTGCTTAGTGCCTTTCTTTTTTATTCTTTGTTACTCTCTGGGAAGGAATGAGTATATTTGGAAGTGAATGATGTAAAAGTAATCGATATCAATAAAAATATTTAAAAGACATCAAAAATTAATTTAAAAAAATAACCAGCCCCAGCCCTGGAGTGTCAGCATCAGGGAAAGGAACAAAGCTGAAGGGATGGCTTAGACTATTGCCTCTCTCTTCTGGAGCAGTCAATGTCAATGTTCCAAAACCACTAAAATAAACACCTTTATTTTGTTAGTAAGTGCTTAATAAATGCTTGTTGATTGGTTGATTGCTAAACAATCTTTAATTAAAATCCCAAATGCCTTCACTGCAGGCATCCTGATGGCAACCTTACCTTTCAAACATGCAGGGCACTCGCCAGATCATCTTACATATCATCTTGCTACAATTAAGCACAGTTAAATTAAATCAGATGGAACTAACTAGCAACAAAATGCTGGGGAGCCCAAAGGTGGTGATGGCGGCGGCGGCAGCGGCAGTGCTGGTGGTAGCAGCAATGGCAATAGCTGTGGTGGTAGTAAATTGTCTCCAGGGGCTATGTTACAAATTAGGATTCTAGCCATTTGCAGATCTTTCTGGAACAGCTTCCGACTTGTGACACTAAGAGATGGCTGCCACAGAGCACTCTAACCCCATTCAGTCCTGGCTGGGGGAGAGATACCTCCATCTCCAGACCTGTGAACTCTAGTACAATGCATCATTTTGTTGACATTTGGGAGAGCCCACTGTTAGAAAGGGAAATGCGCTAAAGCAAATAGTCCTCTTAAAGAGCCCCTTGCTCCAACTGGAGAAATACGAGGCCTCTACCATTTGCTTTCTGCAGAAATGTCAAGTAAGTCCGTTCCCTCCGATTTCTCCTCTATAAAGCGAGGGATTGGGATCTGGTGATTTCTAAAGTCCTTTTGAGTTTTAAAAATCCTAATGTGCTGAGAGCTTGAGGCCGGGGGAAGAGCTAGGGACTGAAGGGAGTTCTAACAAGCAGACTTGTCTACTGACCATAACTTCCTCCCCAGACCTCCATGGCTAGAAAGGATGGATAGGCTCTGACTCACCTGAAGGCTGGGTATGCCCACCAACCAAACGTAGGCCCATTGGAGGGCCAACGATGTACTTTAATAAACACAATTGCATTATTTTTTTTCTTTTTTTAAATAGAATTTTCTCTTTTTCTAATTATATGTAAAGACAATTTCTAGCGCTCATTTTTACAAATTTTTGAGTTCCAAGTTTTTCTCCTTCCCTCCCTGCCCCTCTTCCTAAAATAGCAAGCAGTTAACACAATTGATATATATGCGTGTATATATATATATATGTGTGTGTGTGTGGATATATGCATGTGTGTATATATATACATATATATATGTATATATATATAAATTAATATATGTTCTGGGCAGTAATTTGTAAGCAATGCCCCACAAAGAGTAACTGCTTTTCAAGGCACAGAAAAGCAGCTATATTGCAGCACTTACCTGTAGATGAGGGCATCCCCATAGCCATCGTTAAGTGTTTAATTACGTTGTTTTCTTGTTTCTTATGTCTAAATCTTATATTCCCCACTAAAGGGAAAGCTCCTTGAGGGCAGGTCTGCTTTTTTTTTTTAATATACTTCTGTTCAGTAATCCCCATTGTACCTACCCCCATTGTACCCAGCACTGAAATGAGGAAACCAGAAGCAATCAATAAACAGGGATTAACGACAAAGCTCAGTCACAGTCTCCTGCTGAGCCTCTCTCCCTCCGTGATCTCCGGCCTCACAGACTCCTGCAGTTGCAAGGTGGGAGATGCTGAAGGTGCCAAGGCAGGGGCTGCCAAGAACTCCTCAGGAAGCAACCTCGGGCCCAGGCCCTTGCAGAGATCTGCACCTCCCTCTGCAAAGGGAGTCACGGACCAGGAAGGAATGTTCCAGCCTGGGAGGGGAGTGGCAACTCATCAAGTCTCCCCTAGGGTTCAGATCAACCCAGTAAATTAAAGTGCTCTTGGAGGAGAGGAGAGAGGGTTGCATAAGCTGCCCACATCCTGTGCCTGGCAGTGGTCTCTCCAGGTTTACCTGTTGCCAAGTGCTTTGAATGGGAGGGGAAGAGAGGTGGGGCAGGTGTCAGGGTTTTTTTTTTTTCTTTTTTTTTTTTTCCCCTTCTCACGCTAGGTGTGTTCCTTTTGTAGATTGTTTGGCCCCAGCTCTATCACTAACTAGCTGTGTGACCCTGGGTGAGTCACTTAACCTTGAGAGGCTCCTTTCCTATGAAAGATAGCAAATTGTAGCAGAAAGAATATTCTCTGTATCTCGAGTCAGAGAACCTGGGTTCCAATCTTCATTTTGCTACTGACCACCTGAGTGGCTTTAGGCAAGTTCCTTCACTTTGGGATCTCCAGTTTCCTTATCTATAAGATGAAGGACGAGAAATAGACAATTCCTGATGGCCTCTTACAGTTTTAGATCAATGATCTTATGGCCTCTATGGGCATCAGTTTCCTCATCTGCTAAAGGAGGGGATTAAACCATGTTTTCCCTTTTCCTTTCAATTCTAAAACTCTTCTATGCTCTAAGGGGTTCTGGAAGACAAAGCTGTGAAACTCTTCCCATTCTCATCAGGGAAAAAGAAAAGAGAGAAGAATCTTTGTGCAGGTTAAATTAACCTGCCCGAATACTGCCCGAATCTAATTGACTCCCTTTCCTATCCTGGTTAGGTTTTTCCTCTCCCGTTTTTATAGCCTGATCTCCACTGAAGACATTTCAATAAGACACATAATATACTTAGCACATATAATACTCCTGCTCCCTGCCTGGACTGTGATTGGGTTGGTGGTCCTTTGGTCTCTCATGTGGGAGCTTCTGGATGGCTTTCCTAACAAGAATGCCTTGGATTTACTAGAACCTCTTTCTCAAAGGAGCTTTAAGAGGAAAGAATGACCCAAATGTGCAGTGGTGGCTTTAGGAGTCATGGTGCAAACGATACACCACAATCCCAAATAGTTTTATTTGGGAGAAAATGAACATAAAGAGCATTCTTTTTTTTTTAGGCAATTGGGGTTAAGTGACTTGCCCAGGGTCACACAGCTCGTAAGTGTCAAGGGTTTGGTCTAAGGCTGGATTTGAACTCAGGTCCTCCTGATTTCAGGTCTGATGCTCTATCCACTGTGCCACCTAGCTGCCCCAAGAGCATTCTTTTTTTTCTATTTAATTTTTTAAAAAATTTTTAACAAGTGTTTTTAAAACTTTGGGTTACAAGTTTTCTCCCTTCCTACCTCCCCACCCACCCTCATTGAAAAGGCAAGCATCTCGATACAGGTTATACATGTATAGTCATGCAAAACACTTCCATAGTAGCATATTTCCCTTCATCCTATCCTACCCCCCATTTATTCTGTTCTCTCTTTTGACCCTGTCCCTCCTCAGAAGTGTTTGGGTCTGATTATCTCCTCCCCCAATCTGCCCTCCCCTCTGTCAACCCCCTGCTCTCTTGTCCCCTTCCTCCCTTATTTTCCTGTAGGGTAAGATAGATTTCCATACCCCATTGTGTATATTATTCCCTCCTTAAGCCAAATCCTATGAGAATAAGATTCACTCATTCCCTCTCATCTTCTCCCATTTCCCCTCCATGTAAAAGCCTTTTCTTGTCTGTTTCACGTGAGATAATTTACTCCATTCTACCTCTCCCTTTCTCCTTCTCCCAGTATAATCCTCTCTCACTCCTTAATTTTATTTTCCAGATATCACCCCTTCATCTTCAACTGACCCTGTCCCATCTATCTACCTAC